CAGGGTGTCTAAAAAAATTTATACACACGCTACCTTACAGATTTTCGTTGAGATGCGGTGTGTATACATTTATCCTGAGACACCCTGTACTGCATACGTGGTTGTACTTGTGTCCGTAACTGTATACTTGTGCTGTACTTATCTCCGATGTGGTTAACGTAGTTTTGCTGCAATTTCTGAGTTATTAAATGCACAGCAGAACAAGAAGCTTCACATAACACAGCAGAACAAGAAGCTTCACATAACACAGCAGAACAAGAAGCTTCACATAACACAGCAGAACAAGAAGCTTCACATAACACAGCAGAACAAGAAGCTTCACATAACACAGCAGAACAAGAAGCCTCACATAACACAGCTAACACGAAGCTTCACATAACACAGCAGAACAAGAAGCTTCACATAACACAGCAGAACAAGAAGCTTCACATAACACAGCAGAACAAGAAGCTTCACATAACACAGCAGAACAAGAAGCTTCACATAACACAGCAGAACAAGAAGCTTCACATAACACAGCAGAACAAGAAGCTTCACATAACACAGCAGAACAAGAAGCCTCACATAACACAGCTAACACGAAGCTTCACATAACACAGCAGAGAACAAGAAGCTTCACATAACACAGCAGAACAAGAAGCTTCACATAACACAGCAGAACAAGAAGCTTCACATAACACAGCAGAACAAGAAGCTTCACATAACACAGCAGAACAAGAAGCTTCACATAACACAGCAGAACAAGAAGCTTCACATAACACAGCAGAACAAGAAGCTTCACATAACACAGCAGAACAAGAAGCTTCACATAACACAGCAGAACAAGAAGCTTCACATAACACAGCAGAACAAGAAGCCTCACATAACACAGCTAACACGAAGCTTCACATAACACAGCAGAACAAGAAGCTTCACATAACACAGCAGAACAAGAAGTTTACATAACACAGCAGAACAAGAAGCTTTCATAACACACTAGAAGCTTCACAGCAGAACAAGAAGCTCACATCAGCAGAACAAGAAGCTTCACATAACACAGCAGAACAAGAAGCTTCACATAACACAGCAGAACAAGAAGCTTCACATAACACAGCAAGAAGCTTCACATAACACAGCAGAACAAGAAGCTTCACATAACACAGCTAACACGAAGCTTCACATAACACAGCAGAACAAGAAGCTTCACATAACACAGCAGAACAAGAAGCTTCACATAACACAGCAGAACAAGAAGCCTCACATAACACAGCAGAACAAGAAGCTTCACATAACACAGCAGAACAAGAAGCTTCACATAACACAGCTAACACGAAGCTTCACATAACAAGTCCCCCACAGTTAGATAAATACAGAGAATCATTAGAGTGAAGTAAAAGTTTCGTAGTGAGGGTTGGTGAGGTGAGGTGCGAGGGAGGAACCACACCTGTCGTCCCCCCCCTCACAGGTGTGTTGTCACAGATGTTCCCTCGACCCTCCCCCACAGTGGCTTGGTTCCTGGGTGGGGGGGGGGGAGCTGGTGAGACATGCTAGTTTGTGGTTTAGTGGTTAGCGTGCTAGTCTCTTAAGTAACAAGACCTTGGTTCGACTTCATGGCAGAGTTTCTTTTTCGTCATTTACACGGGAAGCTGTTAACTGAAGTTTTCATCTTCCTGCAGAAGGCGCTGAAGGTACGGTACTCAGCTGTATAACGTTCCTGGTTGTTGTACAGGAAATATTTATATACTGTGACAAAGTCAACAGTAGGTACGTGTCACCGTGTATTATGTCGACCTGAGTACAGTAGTGTGTTAGTTAAGGCGCCTATACTGTTACTTCACCCTCCAGTGTGTTCCTCCATTGATGCTTAGATCATCACTATCAACCCGCAAGTAGACTGACATAAACAGTCTCCCATACTGTAAACAAACAAGTTACCTTCTCCCATACTGTAAACAAACAAGCTGCCTGACTGACTGGTGGGATTAAGGTATTCAAATTAGGACACTGAGATTTTTCCTTGGGTTAAAAGTATTGCCATTGTAAATATTATAGTATTTCTCAGTAACTATATAGCCATGACTTTCAAATTACTTCAGGTTGATATCAGTGACGTAATCCTTTATTTTGCTGGTGTTCTTCTCTTATTGGTTGATATCAGTGACGTAATCCTTTATTTTGCTGGTGTTCTTCTCTTATTGCTTGATATCAGTGACGTAATCCTTTATTTTGCTGGTGTTCTCTTATTGGTTGATATCAGTGACGTAATCCTTTATTTTGCTGGTGTTCTTCTCTTATTGGTTGATATCAGTGACGTAATCCTTTACTTTGCTGGTGTTCTTCTCTTATTGGTTGATATCAGTGACGTAATCCTTTATTTTGCTGGTGTTCTTCTCTTATTGGTTGATATCAGTGACGTAATCCTTTATTTTGCTGGTGCTCTTCTCTGATCGGTTGATATCCGTGACGTAATACCACTACCGGCGCTATTTTACCGGTAATGTCGCTGTTTTCGTCCGCCTGTAGTGAAGGTAAGGACAGGGTGAAATAATCTGGTGGGTAGTCTTGAGATCATCCCTGAGGACTTACAGGAAAAAGTTTGGTCGGATTTTATTCCTTTATTTTAAAGATTTGAACATCTGTCTACTTGTCTGTATTTCTACCTGTTTATCTGTCTCGTCCATCCGTCTATATGTCTGTATTGCTGCTTATCTATCTATCTATCTATCTATCTATATATCTTTAAAACTAATTTAATTATCAGTATTATCTTAACTCTTTTTGCTGCAGGGAACTAAACTAAACTGTATTCCTCCTCCATTTTGGGTCATGGTAACATATTTAATTGTATTTAAAAGACTGGTGGGAGGGTAGGGGTGGAGTGGGAGGTAATGTAATAAGTGGTGAGAGAGGTAGAGGGTGAGAGGAGGGTAGTGGAGGTCGGTGAACTGGGGTGGAGGTGGAGGGGGTGAGAGGTAACAGTAATCAGCCTTTACCTGTTGGCCTCTCACCCCTCCCTCCCTCCCTCCCCCCCTCCTCTCTCTCTCTCTCTCTCTCTCTCTCTCTCTCTCTCCTGATCTAATTAAGACTTGGTAATAAACAAAGGTAGGTCAGGAATACATAACTCCATAACTCCCGATGAACTTTACAATGACTCCTGTCAGGTCAAGGTCACGACTGCTGTGGGAGGTCAAAGGTTAGGTAGGTGTGGGAGGTCAAAGGTTAGGTAGGTGTGGGAGGTAAAAGGTTAGGTAGCTGTGAGTTGAGGTTAATGCTAGTTTGTGGCGGCTGAAAAATGTCGGGGCCAGAATCGTCACTCACTGGTGGGTTAACACTGTCTATCTATCTATCTATCTATCTATCTATCTATCTATCTATCTGTGTACCTATCTTTCTGTATGTCTATATCTTCCTGTCTATCTCTGTCCATCTATCTTCGTTTTATATCAATCTTCTGTATCCTGCCTGTCTATCTACAGTATATACTTATATGTGTGTGTATATATATATATATATATATATATATATATATATATATATATATATATATATATATATATATATATATATATATATACCGTTTTTCTTTGTCTGTCTGCCTATTTACTTAGTTTTGTCCATATTGTTTCAACAGTCGTCTCATTATTGAAATTATTCCAACTTATTTATATTTGTGGCACTAAAACTGTTGGAATGTTCAGGATAAAACTATTGTGTGTATATATTGACTAAACTTAATCAACTCTAAACTAACCTAACCTCACCTGCCAGTAACGTACGCCCTTCATGTAGCATTAGGGTGTTTAATTATTAGGTGAAGTAGAGGGGGAGGCTCCATGTGGTTGAGTGTAACAGCCCACAGGGGGGGTGAGGCAGTCCAGTTCATGACAAGATACACAGGAACTAGCTTCGTGTGTCACTCTTTCGTCTATTTATCGATTTCGTCTGAATTTCGGTATCATCGTGAGTGTTTCTTTATAGTTAGAAAGTCTTAATATGTAGTTGTTGCACGAGTCCTTCCTGCACCTCCAGGTAGCGTGGTGGAGACCTGTAATCACTCCCGCTCACTTTACTTAGAAAGGAAAGGTGATTGACTGACCGGGTAGACTGGCAGGCGCTGGTTGCTGTATAAACTGGCCCCTCCCTCGTGTTATAATACTGTTTGTAGACAACATATTCACTGGTGGAAGGATGGCATCTGATTTGTTAACCAGTGAAAGGACGAGTGGCATTCAAAAGAAACATGGCACACGAAAAGGAAACTTATAATGAGACGGCGTGAATCCCTCAATACTCCTTTTGTCTATAGATGTAACAACGGGGAACTAGGTGAGTCTCTGAGGCGCAGTGGAAGCAGAAAGTTGCCCCACTCTTCATAAAACAGGTGTTATCTTGAAGACTTGGTTAACGGTGCTTTAAAGTCCCAAGCTGCTGTAGTACCTAAATTTACGGCAACAACTGCAAGACCATTTCATGATTAATAAGTACGTACTCTGTTTTTGAAGTCAAGCCCTCATTAAAAAGAGCCAAATTCCCAAAGGTTTGGACAATAAAATAATTTATAAGTAACTTACAGTAGCAACCTAACTGGTTGGTTCAAACCAAAGAACAAAACTAACATTAAAATTATACTTTGATTCTTCTTTAGCTAACATTTATTAACAATCTTGTCGAGACAGATGGGTAATGTGGTAGGTTAGGTAGCACAGCACTGAGTACCAACTGTGTAATAAGTTCATAGTTAGTATATAATACTGTATACAGTACATACGAATAACTCTTATCGTATCAAAGTTAAGATGGATATCATAAGTAAAGTATTTGCCATATAAGAACATTTAGTTTACCAGTACAGGTACAGGAATATTTTGTAACAACTAAAAGTAAATCAGACTACAGAGAGCAGATTTTGGATCTATGCTTAACTGCATATATTTTATTTTGTGTTTTTCCTGGGTTTTCTCTCAGTTATAAATATTAATACTGTACAAATATAAATTGATATTTTTTATTCTTATTTACAGGTTGATCAAGATGCTGGTGGAGAACTCGGGAGGAGGTGGGAATGGTGGTGAGGGCAAGGGATCAAACAACGGAGGCAATGGAGGTAAAACTAATGGAGTAGCGAAGACGACAAGTGGAAGCACCAAGTCCAGCATGAGTACTAAGAGTAGCATTTGCAGCAAGCCAGCCCCACCCACACCATCCAAGAGTACTTCAAGTGGACTGGACTCTCAACTCATGTACACACCTCCACACGTGTTGATCCGCTCCATCTCATCCCTCTCGCAACACTCCCTCAGGCCATCCACACCAGAACATGACCAGGTATTGTCTTGTGAATTTATCAACATCAGGTGTATGTCTGTTGAGGTGCAGGTACCGGTAACCAACACACACACACACACACACACACACACACACACACACACACACTGTGTTTCACAGGTGAGAATGGCTATTTATTCATTTGGAAAGATAAACTCCTGGTACAATCCAGTACTGTATTGGCTTCATCTCTCTTTGTTGTCCGTAAGGCATCCTTAAATATCAAGGTTTTATTTTTATTTTTGCAAGTTTGACAACTTGTGGGCAAAGTCTCTGTACTGTACACTAATTAAGATATTGTTGGGGATGATTTTAAACATTTGTAGTATACAGGATTGTAAGTCTCACTCTAGAGACCTCTTGGGGTTTTCATGCACAAGGGTGGCACCACTCAGTTACCTGTTACCTTTTGCTACAGAAGGAACTCATTGAACCTGTGCTCAGCATACATTTGTGCCTATTTTGGTTTTTCTCTGAATTACCCTGAATTACAGTTTGGTAAACATAGGTAGTTGATAAAACTGATTGTGGCACTAAAAGGCTGAGTAAAGTGATGATACTTGAGTGAGAAAATAGAGTTGTTGGATCAGTTAGATCGGTGGGAAATTGTGGCCTCATTTTGGTACCATCAGAAAAATTATACAAATGTACTGTACAGTACAGTATATCCATACAAGTGAGGTAAATATATGTGTGAGTGTTGCAGCAAGTGTGTTTCATTGTGCTGAAGTTTCATTTCAGTCTCATAATCCAATTACTGAAAGGATGGAAAATGCTCTCATTGTTTAGATTGAGGACCAATCACAGAATAAAATGCCCACTGGGTGGACCGGTGCTACGAGGAAAGACACTGATGCCCCCCACTACCACCACCATTACTAAGCCTATATCACCCAATGACCTATCAGCTACAGAGTCCCAGTATCTAACCCCATTATTCTGGTAAGGTTTGAGTTTTGAATATTGGAGTTTTTACTTTTATGGTACTACAGTACTTACCAGAAATGGAGCACCCATGGTATTTAAGGGTCTCCTTATAAATGTACTTATGGTAATACAGTATTTTAAAGAATACAGGACTAGTATCATTATAATGCATCATGAAATGAACAGTTTAATTCGCCTTCATGTGATGTCAGTAAAGTGTCCAAATACCTGTACTGTATACAGTAGTACAGTCCAGTATTTACCAAGTAGTACTGTACTTGTACTGTATATGGTCCAGTATATTTCCAGTTTGAGGGACAGTTAAGATAAATCTTGAACAGGTTTTGTGTAGTATCATGTCAAGTTGATGTATTCTATACCACATGTACTGTACTGTACTGTACATGTACTGTAGGGCATTAGATTACTTTTACTTTTACTTTTATCCTCTTCACCACTGATCAGCTTGTTATCCGCTTGGGCGATCGGTCACGTCTCTGATTACTTTTCCTTTTCTTTTATCCTCTTCACCAAAAGATCGGCTCGTAAGCTGCTTGGGCAATCGGTCACGTCTCTGTTACGCACTGTTGGCAGGTACTGGGCATGCATTGGCTCCTGAATGTACCTGAACCTGCTCCAGTGTTGGTCAAGTCTGGTCTTGAAAGAGCTCACACTTGGTGCTGTCACAACACTTTCTGGTAGATTGTTCCAGGAGTTCACAACTCTCACTCCGAAAAAGTTTGCCCGCACAGTTTTCTGGATTTGTGGCTTCTTCAAACTTGAGCTGTGACCCCTTGTGGGGCGAGCGTCCGCCAGCTCAAAGTAAGGACACTCGACTGAGTAGTGCCCCTTGAGATGCTTATACACCTCAATTAGGTCACCCCTTGCCTGTCTGTAGTATAAGCTAGATCTCAAGTCAAGGTTATCAGTTCAGAAAGCAGTTTTCCGGTTCAGTTGGCAACTCAATGCTGTATATAATGTTTTTCCTCTCTAGAGCTACTTGAGTGAGTATCAGATTTTTTTTATTTTATACCGTATACGTATATGCTTTGTTTACTTCTCATCTTCCTTTTCTCCTTTGTTCATCTTTTAATACAAATATTCAATTCCCAAGTTTTGTGTTTATTTTATGACTACAAATTAAAAGCCAGAAAACTACATTGTAACTGAAAATTACCTGGTTTAAGGAGATTTATGTTTGGGTAAGAGAATTTTCCCCAGAAATAAAGTCTATTAAACATGCAACACACAATTTGAAAATACATAATTTGAAAAAATCATAACTGTCAGAAGTAGAGATTCTGGTAAATGGGGGAATGCTGTAAAGGTACAGGATGTAAACCCAACACCGAAGATCATATGCAGTACCTCCGCAGATCTTGTTTATAAGTTATGTAAAAAAAAATATACTGTATGAGGGTAAGTAAGGAAGAAATAAAGTGTAACAAAAGATAAATACTATACAGTACATTATATTAAGGGTTATACTCACCATCAGTAACTCCAACACCACATGGATTCAAAATGGCCTCAAAATGTCCATGATATTGGTCAGATTTAAAAAAAAATTGGGGGCTTATAACACCCCCACCTCCCCAAAAACCCCAGATGGGTGGATGCTCTGTGCTCACCATGTTTCCCCACCTACAGCTTCTTGGACCCCCTCCCATTTTGATATTCCTGGTAACGCCCTTGCCACATATTGGTACCTTACATCACTCCAGTTTACTGTTGTTTGTGCCATTCATACACAACCAAATCAACTTTGTTACTCATTACAGTACAGTACTGCACTTAATTTGGTTCTGCTTATACAGTACTGTACTGTACTTGTTTTGACTGCCCTGGCATAGACTATAATGATTTCTGCTTTACCTTTTCTTAGCTGTAAATTGTAAATGGCCCTCCCTCTTCCTATCAAGTCCAATAAGTACTTTTTTCTAAAGGTTTCCCAATAATTTACAGGTGCTATTTTTCTTTCTTTTATTTCAAAGTTGACCAATTTTTTCTCATTTATCTTCCCTAAAGGCTTGGCTTACATTTTGGATATGGCTAATTAGTTACCTGTTTTATGTACAAAATTTTCAAAAAGTGAGGATAAACATCACTTTTATCACTTGAATTTGTTGTCATGATGCAGGGTATAAAGGGAATGGTGGAGAGGTGTTGGTAGCCAGAGCAAGAGGGGCAAAGGAGTCACTCATAGCATATCTGGGGCCCCAAGGGAGTTACGCACCTAGCCAGTACCACATGCCTTTAGACTATATGTCTCCAACCCACATGCCCCACCAGACCACGTGCCACCAGGCCAAATGCCACCAGGCCATGTGACTATCAGCATTAAAACAGAATTTGTATGTTCTCCAGGACCCTTAAAGACATATTCTGGGATTCGACCTAGCTGGATGAGTGGCTCTTTTTAGAGTACTGTACAGTAACCAAAACAACATCTTTGGAAAAATATAGATAGGTACGGTTAGTGGAAAACTCACTACTAGGTTGCTTATTCCTTTGAGGAAGATTTTAGACATGACAGTATAACTGAAAGTTTACCTGTGCATAATGAGCCCATCATAAGAATTCACTGGTAGAGAAAAGAGGCACAAAGGCAATAATTGTACTTGGCACATCATCTAATGATAGATCATATTTTTATGAGATTAACAGACAAAATATGTCCCATGAACCATTTGTCAGTGTCATGCCCTCAAATCATTCATGCACACCACAGCCTCCTGAGTGTACATATTGTACTAAATTGTGCTTCCCTTACCTCATCCTTCCATTTCTTGTATGTTCTTCCACCTCCCTTTTCTGAAATATACTTTCTTATTTACTGTACAGTACTTCATTCCTATAAAATATCCATTATTAATTATAATTGTATTGTCTACAGGATGATGGCATTGTATCAGTTCCTGCTCTACGTAAAGGTGTGCTGCTCCAGGCTCGAGACCGTCTCTTCTCACGTTGGAAGGAACGTTATTTTGTTCTCACCCGGGATTACCTTGCCTGCTTTAGAAGAGGTTCCACCAAGTACTCTGAAATGGGATCCTTTATATTTAAAGTAAGTACAAACCAGTGTACTTTACCAGTAATTTATGAATTTTATATTTATGCTTCTTTGAATATTTCTCTCTTATCTCTTCATCTACTATGCACAAATTTGCGTTTCATTTCACAGGACAGAAGAGACGTGAAGTTAATGCAGTGATTGATTTCACTTAAAACTTTTATCTTTTAGGTCAACCTGGCCTGTGTGGAGTGTGTAGAGTGGCAAGATCGTCGTGGTGGCCCAGCCTTGGCACTGTCTCTGCCTCGTGAAGGTCGAGTGCTGCTACGAGCAAAGTCAGGTTTAGATCAGTGGTACAGAGTGTTACTTGAGGCTACAAGTGCCTCACGTCACCGTCGTAGTGCTCTCCGTCGTGGTACATCTACCACACACCTAAACAATACCACAAATAATAACCTTGACACTACGCCTCCAACAAAATCAGGTAAGAATCTAAGTTATGTATATAGTATATACCCGGTACTTTATATTTTAAAGTTATTGCTGTATTTTAAATACATAAGAGTTAATGGATTGTATAGTACAGTACTGGGTACAGTACATATACACCATAACCTTTTTATTTTTTTACACGGGTATTAGCCCACCCGGACACAGATCACCGACCCACATCAGGGCCCAGGGGGCAAAAACGTAATAACAATAATAATAATAATAATAATAATAATAATAATACAGTAATAATAATAATAATAATAATAATAATAATAATAATAATAATTCAGATAAGTAAAATTTATAAGAAAAAATACAAAAATAAAAATAAAATAATATTGATAACAATAATAATAATAATGAAAACACTGCAATAATAATAATTATAATAATAATAATAAGGAGCCATAAAGAAATTAAAAAAAAAGATCATTTGTGAGAAACAATATATGTATGTTTTGTTGTCAATAGCAAGAGAAACAATTGAGACCCCGCAATTGTGTGTAAATGAGGCAGAAAGTCAGATCAGTAACCTGGGACTTGGTCACAATTTTTGCAATGCCATATGGCAGCAGGGTCTACCATTAGACAACACATTATGCTCCCTGTTTGGTAGCTGCCTACTACCTACTGAAGTTGTACTGTATATTGTAAATTAAACATTAGTGTTAGCAACAAAAAAATATCAGACATATTAACATAAATTTGGACTTAATTCATTTTAAAGAAAAATTACCCAAATTAATATCTTATGACTTCAAAGAATATCAGAATTTTGAATCTGTTTATCATTTTACAGTGAAGTAGCTATGAGGCATGGATGCTTATTATTTAAGTGATCACAACTTAATACAGTATTTACTGGTATACTGTACACTTAATGATTTTAATTCATCCCTGACTACTGTTTTCCCTCACATTTCTTGGGTCTTTGTATTCCTTGATCCACTCCAAACAAAAGTGAGAGGAAAGTATCGGTAGTAAGTAGATAAACAGATTATGTTTTTGTATTTTTAGTATTTTTTGTCAACTATTTTTTTCATCTTTCCAAATATTTCAGAAACTGACTGTCTCTCCAACTTTTAGTGTTAAAGCCCTGTTGAAGTAACACTGAAGAACATTTACATTTCCAGGTGGAATACAATACAGTCTCAGTGGGTCAACACCAGAGATCACAAGGCTGTGTGATGCTGTTTGTGATGATTCACCAGGTGGCAGCAGTTCTCGTGTTCTCACAAGGCACCATAGATTTTCTCGTAAGATATATGTGAAGTTTGTACTAATTGTTTTATATTTCTCACATACGGTGTACTGTATACTGAAGACAGTTTGATGCTTGCTGTGTCTGAGGATGAGAAGAAGGAAATATACATACAGTGGTGAAGATCACTTCCGGGAATGGGATTTCCAGGTAACGAGACGACTCAATCAAAATAAAATCCCTCATCCCTAGAATTTTTTGGGTACCGTGAAAATTTTCTCAGAAGTTCCAGAAATTGCACATTACATCATCTCTCGAACCTGGAAAGAAATCCCCCATCCCCAGAATTTTTCCGGGTACCAGAATTTTCTTGTAATTTTCCAGAATGATGCATTATTACATCTCTCAAATCCAGAAAAAATTCATCTCCGGAATTTTCTGGGTACTGGAAAATTTTTCTCAGAATTTCCGAAAAATTACCCTGATTTTCATCTCTCAAACCTGGGGAAAAAAATCCACATCCCGTAATTTTTCGGGTATCGGAAAAGTTCTCTCAGAATTTTCCAGAGAATGTGCCCCTCGAAAAATCGTTCCCAACGCCGGAATTTTCCGGAAAACTCCAACTTTGAGAACGATTTTCTGAAAAAATTTAAATTCCGGCTATTGGAGAGTTCCGGTTAAGGGGGATTCCAACTAACGGATATATTACTATATTTTTATGGAAGTTTGCAGGAGACCAGTGTCAACTGTCAGTGCTTGAAAGCTGGTATTTGAAAGAAAAGGACAGTCTCGGTATGACGGCGCTATAATTATTTGGTAGTGTCACACTGGATAACACCCTTTTTACATCTGTCCTGTACCACAGATGTGGGAGTGGCAAAGATACAAGTACAGTATACAGTACGTACAGTAATAAATAAATAGATGTTTAATTAAGAAGTTAATATTTTATTTTAGTAACTGAGAGGATACTGAGTTCTTTAAGAGTAGGCACATGATGCATTTCTTTATTTGGGTTATACAGATACAGTACAGTATTCATAATAGGGACTACAGTCTGTAATACTAACTATTTTGACTTTTATGTATTGCTCATCTTTTTCATATTTACATCAGTGTTTGTGTTATAAATGAATAGTCACTGGTTCATTTCATGAGTGGAGAGGTTTCCTCCTTGTACACTTACCATTGTGTACTCAGCAGTAAACAACCTTTCAGTGGACAAACATCCCACCATGAGGGTGGGGTAAACTGTTAGAGGCTGAATGCTTAAAAACTAGATCAGTAGCTGTCTGGCCTGGTCACCCTGTATCATAAGGGAAAATCTTCTATGGATGGGAAAATAAAATTAAAGCAGATTGTTGTACTGTAAAAATATCATTAAAATGGTTCAATACATAATTTGTTTTAATTGGTAGTTTTTTCATTTATAGATATTTCATTTAACATCAGGATGTAGGAACTTGGGAGATAAAAAGTTATAAAAGATTTGCCAAAATTTTCAAGTCATCCAAATCGGAATATTTTACCGAGTGTTAAATGTTTTATTAGTATGATCCCAGTCTTTCCTGCAAAATGTGCAAGTACGTAACACAATTTTGGTTTACAGTAAAGAATTGGATATTTAGTGATAATGCAGGACAAAACAGTCAGCCCTTGATGTGATCGGTGTTATATTTGTGCCTCTACAATTGTGGTAAAATAATCATTGTGTTACTATTTTACTTGCCTATGTTAATCTTCAATTATATTTCTTGTATAATCTGTAGTGGATGAGCATAGCTCTTTTGGCCTGAATTGGTCAGTGAAATGTGGATGGTCATTAACCAGCAAACTCCTTGACCCCACAGTTCTTGCTGATGTGGACCTTAGTTCTTGTGACACTGATGTAGCTACTCCGCCCTCCTCAGTCACATCCTCCAACAAGTTCAGTACTTCAACATCAGCTTCTAATACCTCAGGTGAGTTTGAAATACTGAAACAATAAGAACAAGCAATAAATGAAAAATTATTTTCTTGTTGTTTATGAAAAGATAAATTGAAGTTGTAACTTTAATAAAGATATTTCACAAGGCAGCAACTCATACCAGATGATATTCCTTTGAAATACTGTACAGTAGACCCTTCCCATTCGCGGGTTTGCGATTCGCGGTAAACAGATGGTGGCTATTGTGGCTAGCTTGCAAGCTTTTCCCGCAGCACAACGAGTCACCTCACACAGCATCTCGTGTTGTACTCTCATAACTTTTATTATTTCTGTGTGAAATGGCCCCTAAAAGACTGCCTAGTGTCAGTGCTAGTGATGCTGGTAGAGTGAAATGTAAAAGGCAGAAGTCGGTGATGACCTTGACAAAGAAAGTTGAATTATTAGACAAGTTAAAGGAGGGGATGAGTGGTGCCGCAGCTGGTCTGTTGTTTGGTATAGGTATACAATAGTGCACTGAGGTAGTATACGTTGCTATTCACGGTTTTGCCTATTCGCGCCATTCCTTGGAACCTAACCCCCGTGAATAACAAGGGCTTACTCTATTGCATATGGTAGATTAATTTATCTTTATTTGGACTGTAAGTTACAGTATATGTTGGTGTAGGAGAATGATGACACATTGAAAGCTTATTTATTGCATTAATAACATTTCAAGTGTTTAACTCTGGCAGTCTACTGTATGTTGTCATATAGTAGTGTGGCAGCCGAGCAGATACAGCGCTTGCTTCCTGTTCCATGGGTCAGTGGTTTGATCCCCAGGCATTCACAGTTCACCCAGCTGTCTATACTGTAGGTACCTAAGTTTACAACTTGGGGAAGTGAATGTGGCTGAGTACAGTACCGGCCATGCTAACTCCTTATGTACTGAAGGCTTAGTATAATAATGGTTGCCCCTCTTGTAACGAGGATGGCCGGCCCAAAGGTCACCTTGGTGTGAATTTGTTTAAGGTGTAGAAGCTGTCGCCAACACAACAACCACACCCTGAGTTAGCGAGCTGCATGACCCTGTGTCAAGAAATAGTCTGAGAAGACCGGACAACTCGCCAACTGCACTGGCTAGCCATTACCCCGGAATACGAACCACAAATCGATTAACATCCAGGTTCCCAATTAATGCTGGGTAGACAGAGGCAAATGGCAAATGGCATCAAGAAACTTGCCTGGAGTGTCACCCTGCTCGGGGATCGAACCCTGGTCCGCTCGCTTGCGAGGCGAGAATGCTGACCATTACACCACAGGTCGCCACCTGAAGGCTTAGTATACAGTGTGCTGTATCCACACTGTTCCTAACGGGCAGTCATGCCAATGGAACCCACTTTCACTATGGGACAGTATCCCTCAAGATTGCAGAGCAACTTGTATGATAACAACAACATGCTGCCAATGCAACTGTAGAGGAAAATCCAGATTATGCTGATTTATTGGACAGTATCGACTCAGATGCAGGTAGTGATATCACTAGTGATGACAACTGATCTAATGAAGAGGAAGAGAGAGTGCTTAGAAAAGAGAGTGAATTTGAAGATGGTGAAGGAACAAGAGCTTTTTGGAAGACTAATGCCTCAGTATCATTTTCTGCAATTATTACATTTGATGAATTTTATAGACAATACACAGCAAGTTCAAGGTGATAAATTGAATAAAGTCTGATCTGTTGTGGATTGTTGAGAAGGAAATTCCAGTGTGACCCTATGATACATCACAGGTTTCCCTGAGTCTGGCTTCCTCCTGTGCTAACACTGGATAGACCAATTGCCTGAATGGCTAGTAAGCTGATTAGTGGTGAAAAAAAAGGATAAAATAAGAATAACAAGAAGCAATAAAAGATAGAAGAGTAGACAGAATCATAATACAGTACAATGTAAAGGTAACTTAAGAATATACACCACCAGGTGACATTAGTTGTAAGAAATTATTCGGTATTAAATTTTAGTGTCTTAATGCTTCCTAAGAGGTAGTGTGTCTTGCCTATGATCTCCTTCTACTCTACTTGACTCATTTACAAGATCTTCACAAATTTTAATTCTGAAATCCAGTACTGTACTGTATTTTTATTATATTCCCCCTCAAAAAATTTATGCATTAGGAAGGTTGATAATTAATTTATTCCAGTTTTTTCTGAGGCTTACCAGTGTCTTTAATTTCAAACTGTAGGAAGGGTAATAACATAAATTTGTAATAAATAATTAAATATAAATTTCCAACCTGTCTGTTGAGACATTGTATTTTACTTGAAAATATATTCCAGGTTCAGGTGGTTCATCTTCTTTGGCTTCGTCACCTTCACTGCGAGGATCTTGTGCTTGGCCCCGTCCATCATCCCCTCTACGACCTGTTATAGGTGATGCTCCCAGGTCAAGACTCTCGTTGTATGAAGGTGCTCGTGAAATGCCAACAAGTGCCAAGACGCGTCACTCTGTGTGTCTCGAGCCTCGCGATCAGGCTCAAGACCTTGCTCGGAAACAGAAGAATAGACACTCAATATGTGTAGAACCTCGTGATTTAGCACGAACCCGAGCATCACTTTGCCTGGAGCCACGAAACCCATTACTGGACCTGATGGAGAGTGTGGAGGCCATTCCCTCACTGCTCTCCCCAGAGGGTACTCGACCTCCAACATCTACTAGAACATCACCCTCAAAGAGTGAAGGTATGTACAGTATACCAGAATTTGTCCGTCACAACCTCAGAAGTCTGGTACCGTTGAGATAGAGAACCTATGGCTTTGTGAATTTTCTTATTATCTGAACAAGGTCAACGTCTTTGTGTACATAGGGTTTGTTCATCTGAAAAATTTGGGCATCTTTTGAGAGCTGGGCCTTCATTCTTTAGCGTCTTAAACTTCTTTTGTTTAAAGCCATTTGATATCCTTAGCTTGTGATTGGTTGGTATTTATTGAAGGCATAACTATGATTGGATGACTGGCCTGCACGAAGACTTACTCTACAATGTATACATTCGAGTTACAATACCCTTACAACACTGCAAAATAGTTTTGAATATGGGGGATTTACAATATTATTAGCAGTTTGTAAGTTTGAATACTGTAAATCAGTTACAAGATCGCCTAATGTGTAATTTAGGAGGTGTTTTGAGTATCCACTCCCATATTTTCTTACACTGGTCACATGAACTTCACTTATCCAACCCGGGCACTCTTATAAATGGGAATTTTTCCAACACAATGATAAAGTGATAGAATTAGGGTCTTTGCATAGTGGTAAAATCTCATTAAGTGAAGTATCATAAAGCAAGGACCACCTGTATTTTGATTTTGAAGTTGCAAATATACAGTACAGTATAATGAATAAGTTATTGAATCATTTGTCTTTCAGGTGACAGAAGATCAATCAATGATGTGCCACTGATGGTGAGTGAGGTGGACACTTGCCCTTGTCCAGGAGCCACTCCTTCTCGTCCACGTGCACACTCCACCTCCCTCACACCAGAGCGTTCACTAGGCCCTCGTTCACGCTCCAACTTAGGCTTCTTCCGACACTCAGGCCTCTTTAATCATTAAGTTTTGCAGGAATATATTCATGTAATATTAATTTAAGGCTTGCATTGTACCTTATGAATGTGTACGAACTCCCGCCCCTCTCACACTGCCCCTGAATGTTTGACTGATTGACCTGAGACTATTATTAATATCTATTCCTTCTCTTGAACTTGATTATGAAAATAATATTTTGAATGCTTATGATTTTATAACCAAGAGTTATCAAGGATTATTGATGTAATCTTTACTGAAATTGGAGAATCCAAAATTATTATTTATGAATAGGACAAATGAATGTACAGTGTCTATACAAGTTAACTTTTATTTTACAAGCAGTTTCTCATTTGTTTCCTATTATGAAAATACATTGTATTTTGTTCACTGAATTTCTTGGTTATAAATTACATTCTGTTTATACTGTATATGTAAATGTTACGTTTTAGAATTCATATAATGCATTATGCCCATGATTTCCGTAATTTTATTTTCACTTTATTTGTGCATTATGTGACTTTATGAGAAATCAGTCTTTTTATTTCCAATTCTGCATCAGACTTTTTGTATTGGAAATTTTTTAACGTATAAATTTCAGGAAATACTGTATTATGAAAGTCTTGGTTGTGTGGATGTCTGTACCCACATCATAGTTAGCTGCCAAGATATCTGCAGTTACTTTTTCATTTCAATTTAATGGAAATAAAAATACAGACAATTGATATAAGGTGATAAGAATTTTGTTATTAGTGTGGACATCACTAATGGTACATCACTTTGTAATTCCCACAATCAGTAAACACTATTAAAAGGACAATATTTTGTAAAAAAACAAACAAATTTTTTGGTAAATTTAATGAAAGAATTCTTAGTGCTTACTGTTAGTTTGGAACACATTTATTGTAACTTTTGTTGACTTAAGTTATCAAGTCAATGAACTTTTATATACTTTCTTAGTGTTAAGAATTGCTCTTGAACCAGTGAAGTAAATGCTGTTTGATATTGACAAGCATTGCCTGATACACAAACTAGTCATTTTCAAGGGTGTGGTCATTATATTGAACAGCAATAAGTAAGTACACTAGTAAGTTTATTTTGGACGTGTTGGTAGTTGTAAGTACTGTATTCATTAGTTTTGGCTTTCAGTGGTCATTAAACAAATTTGCATTTAATGTGAAAGCTTCATGGATTTATAATTTTCTTGTGTGCTTATTTTTGTTAAACAGTAAAGTAGAGGCTTCAAAAGAATCCAGCTGGAGTAGAAATTGACTTTTGGAAACTAGAAGCAATAGGCTAATAGGACAACGATTTAATGAATGTCATTCAGGAGGCTGAATTAGAAAAATAAAGGGACATACTCTATTTTTTTTTGTTTTTTAATTCTATATTATGCAATGGATATATGAACGATTTAAATTTATGGCTGGAAGTAATTAGGTAATAAGGATTTTAGATTCCTGGAATTTATGTCCCATCAGTTTTAGTCTACAATAATTTAGCAGTTAACACTAAGACCTATGTTCTGTGGAGAAATAAGTGTTATATGCCAATGGTGCTTTATTGTATGGAAGTGAATTTGAAAGAACATTACAGGTGAAGATGAACTGAGACAACACAGCCATTACAAAGCCTTCTTTATTTTGTCAGGTTTTTGAGATAGATTTGATGTCCTTTCACCTCTACCTTACAAAACTGCTATAAAATACTATTACTTGAAGTGAAAAGCTTGACATTGCAATGCTAAGTTGTCAAGTAAGAACAAGATTATTGTAGGGTGCAGCTCTGTACATAGAAAATTTACCAAGGGAGTTTCCCACCCATAACGGTATATATGGTGGGCTGCTTTTAACTTAAAAAAGTGTGAATGAGGTTGGATATATTTTTATATATATTCACCATGCTTTTGCTGGCTAGGTTTTCAATTGTAGTGCACTTTCAAGTAGTGACATTATTGAACATAATGTAAGCCATAATTTTCTCCATTGTTCAAAGATTCTCATAAAACTAGGGAATTTATAATGCTGACACAATACTTAATCTAACAGTTAAATCCTTGTATCTGCTGTGACAATATCTGAAAGTCTTGTTTTGGAGTGGTAACCAATTTTTGTGGGCCTGTAGATCACAAGTGAAAGTTTCTCACTTTTGTTCAGTGATGCTGTGAGCAATTTGGTGAAACGTTAAGCAATATCATTACTAACTAGAAACTCCAAATGTCTTTCAGCTTTCAGGTGACCACCTAAGAATTTTGGAAAAAATTAGATTTGATTCATATTTTAACTGAATCAATTAAATAATTAAAGTGACCATATGGAAAACATATGTTAGTCTGCATATGTAGGGTAGCATATACAGGAATACCTCGCTATTTGCAACCCCACTTATCCGCAATTGATATTTTAATAACCCTATTAAATATTCACAAAGCATACCCCACTTATTCGCAAAGAAAAATTATGGTACCCTACAGTAATATTTCAAACGGCATGGGCTAGCCATAACTCTCATATTCCGCTGTAATGCCCGCTTCACACGAGCGTGTTTTTTCCCGTATGGTTTAGAAATTACTGAAATTCAGTGGGATCGTTTACACGGCGCACACGCGGGAGAACTCACCGCACGCTTGTACCTGTACTTCCAAACCGAGGCGTGAAAAAACACGCCGAGCGTCCTAAAAAATTTTTATGGCAATGATAAATGCTAGTTTAAATGTTTACACTCATTAACACCTGCACTCACACAACATTTACTGGTCCTACAGTATACACAAGACCCTGGTAGCCTTGGATAATGAGGAGTGTACAGTACAGTATATCGAAAAATATGTGTTGAAAGTTGCCGGCTAGTAACACATCCCCCCCCTATTTACATTTATTCTTATAGGGAAAAATTGCAACAACATAACCCAATTTTTTATTCGCAATGCCATTAGGAATGCATCTTTTGCAATAACCGGGGTATTCCTGTAATTTATTTCATAAATGTTCTTGTGCTTTTTTTTTTTAATAATAAAACCATTTTGTCTTTGGGAAGTAACATGATAAGGAATGTACAGTATTTATTAAAATGCAGACCTATGCAGACTTTTTCTTTTTTTTTTTTTTAAAGGTGAGTTTGCACTAAGTTATTGGGATAAGACTTCTCACGTGGTCAAGTTTCTTTTGGATACACTCGTAGGACCTCGTAATACAAATACATCTATTATAAGAAACAAGAAAACATGTATTGTGATAACTTGTGCTCTTTCAATTGAGTAACTGTAATGTTCATCTTGTTAAGCTCATTCACTTTAACTGTGCCAGTTCTTTCTTAATCTTTTACATTACTAAGTGGGTAAATTATTACCTAGAACAACAATAATTTTAAAAGATCCAAGAACAAGATGATTGTGTGAACATGTGCTCACTTTTCTGTCATTCTGCTGCTCTTCAGTGTTTCAAGCATTAAAAGAAAGTTGTACACTATGGTTGCTATAAACTTTTTACCACAAGGAGTAAACAAAAATATACTCCCAGCATTAAGAAAGTGTTTCACAAGATAAAGCTCAACAGCTGTGCTAATTGACCCTTCAAATGATCTTCATCCACCTTCATCATCTATAGCATCATTATTACAATTCATAGAAGTGAATAGTAGCTTGTTACTAAATGAGTCATGTTGACAACTTAATTGCCAATTTTTCCGTTTGTGTTTCATGTAATGAAATTATTTTGCTTGAAAAACCCATTAAACATTTGAAAGAAAAAATAATATTTAGTTTCCCTGCAGAGTGGTGTAACTCACTAAGCAATCATTGATTATTCAACTTATTTTAATTGAAACAGTTGTAATAGATGCTAAAATTGGATGGAGCGTATTGTAAATGTCAATCATTGAGGAAACACAGTACAGTACACTATGTATCACATTAAAGGAAGACAATATTGAGAGGAGTAAAAGTTTTTCTGATTACTGGATAATATACAGTAGTTTATTGGCTGTTGGTCATTTTCATCAACATCTTCCACCTAATGACAACTGTTCAAAAAAAAAGGGGATAAGATGTGCCCATGCTTAACACTGCAAACCCAGGGCATTAGCCAAAAAAATGCAGGAATAGGTACAGTTCTGGTAACCTGATTGCCCTGAGGTGTGTTGAAGCCAATTTTTACAGCTGGATGCCCTTCCAAACTCCAACCCATTGGTTGGGAACAGCTGGCAAGGCAGGTACTATTGCAACTCCCTGAAGAAATCAAAGACTACCTGCCTATCTTTACCTGTGGTAAAGTGTATACTGTGTATAGGGTAGTTAAAAGATGGGAATGTCTTTACCATATATTATGATCCAGTATATCAGAAAAATCTTCACACAAACTTGTAACCGTCTGTTTTGCGTGTCTTTACTGGGGGTGTCCTTTCGCACTCCTTTCAATAATATCTTCCCATAAACTAAGTGGTACATTATAAAGGGTAGTCTTGTGTTAAATTTTACACTTGTCTGGTCCTTTATACTGAATCTTCACTGTTGTTCCATATGTACAGTAGGTAATTGTATACATAAAGTTAATAAAAGTTAACCAAATGTTTCACCTTAGTTGTCATTATTCTATTTGTTGTATTACAATACTTTCTTTAGAACTAAAGTATCATAATTGGATATACAGTACTTTGTCATGTAGAAATTTCAGAGGAATCTGACAAATTATACACTATTCATTTAGGCCTTATATGAAGCAACTAATTAGAGGGTAAAAATTTTATATTTTCCAGGGTCATTAGCAGCAACTTTCATTTTTTGGGGAGTTTACTGACAGGCAAGTACTATGAGAAGCAATTTTGCTTAGAACCTTAGAATGTACAGATGAGGTTGATATGAGATTTAGGCAGCTGCTGAATTTGTGCATCATCAAACACCACACCAATACTCAAGTCTCAAGTACTGAAGGCAATGTTTTAGAAAAGAAACAGCAACATCTACTTGAAGAGAACCTCTACAGGTATATGTTGCCTATAATGCCATCAGTATATACTTATTAGTTTTGGATGTTTATGTACACGACAATTGATGTTGCTGGAGTGAGAAAGGAGGAAGGTTTACATCTGTATTCATTTGCTTTGCTGGAGACAAACTGGTAAATACAGTACAGTATATTGAAAAGACTTGGTCATGATAAAAAAAAGGAAGTTGCAACTTAACCGGGAGTTTCTGGCTACATAGCTGGTTATGTTAAGTTAGGTTGGAAAAGTCATGTACAGTATCGTGATATATAAGAGTCATTAGATTTGGATCCTTAGGTTTATGTGAGTCCAGTATAGTTGGTGCCGGCCCGTATTGGTTATTCTCACGTTCATAATTTTACCAACCCAATATAACCTAACCTAACTACAGTATTACCAAAAACTTTAAAAATACTTGATACAGGTAATGCAGTACTTTATAAGAGGTGTGCTGGTTAACAAACAACAAGTGGAAACTTTTCAATAAAAATATTGTTCTTTTACATAAAACATACAGTCAGAAACAGTAATTGTTAACTCTCCTGACTAACTGGAACCTCAGCCAGCAGAGGCTGATATTGACAAAATGCAACATCACCAGCCACAATACAGTAGTTCCAAAACGAATCCAGGTAAAAAAGTCACAGAAAAAAAGTCAGGAAAAAAGTCACAGGAAAAAAAGAAAAGTTAACTATCGAATTCTCACATTTTTTAAGGTTAATATGTCAACCTAACCTAACCCTCGTATTCGGAGGATGAGATCCTTATTTTCCCCTGATCCAAATGCGATCCCGTCGAGAGCAGACCTGGAATCGCAGCAGACAAGCAAGGGGCAGAAACCATCTGCTTCTTCCTCAGCGAGAAGGGCAGCAAGGAGGGCTATTAGTTCCGCCTGAGTGGAGGATGCCCCGTCAGAAACTCTGAGAGACAGTTTGATAGGCTCAGGGGCATCAGGACGGGAGATGTAGACACCAGCCCCGGCCCGACCTGTAGCGGGGTCAACAGAACCATCAGTGTAGAGGACGACCCTACCTGGGGAACAGTGGGCGATCCTGGAGAGGTGGTCCACCGAGGGCAATCAATTCAGGTTGAAAATCCAGCCAGGGAGAAGGAGACGAACCAACAGCAGGGGTTCACTTGGATTTTGGGTTGTATATCGTAACGCGCGTATTTCTCTCCCACAAGTCCAGGGTTCGAATCGCCTCTGGTTTAAATGTATGTCCGACGTAGCACGATTTCCGGTTTTCGCCTGCACCAACATTGGATAAACTAACCACCCAGATGGCTTGTGTCCCGATATCAGGTGTTCTTATATATGGTAAACAAAAATACTCAGCCTTTGGATACCCCCCTTGTATTATCATTTTATATTTAGCCTTTCATCCAGAGATTTGCCACTGAGGGAATTAGTATGACTGAACATTCATAAATAGTAAATGAGGAACTCTGAGTTAGGTTATTATTGCACGGGGACGAAGCCATAATGTGGGGTGAAATGAAACCTAACCTAACCTCACCCCTGTAAATCAAACCAAGTGTGTCTGTAGTGATGATGAATTGTCTTATAATAACTGGGTATCATTGAGCAGCATCAATCATCATTATTCATCATCACCATCATTATCATCATTCATTATTTATCATCATTCATCATCATCATCATCACATATACGCCATCATTATCGTCATCATTCATTATTTATCATCATCATCATCATCTATCATCACACACACCACACATTACCACACCTGAGCCCTCTCCCCCGCCCGCCTTGACTGCCGGCAGTGTCAGTTGGTACAAATTAGTGGTTATTTCGGTTCGTTTACGCCATTTTGTAGATTTTCTCATAAAAATAAATATATCTTAATATACCAAATAAAAATTTTTGTTTGGCATATGCAATAAATTCTGATTATCTACATTACATTACGTGTAATTTATTCAGAACGTATTCATCATGCAGAACCTCTACCTATGGGAATATGTCAACCTGTCGTTTGTATCATGAGTTCTGAGTGGCTGGTCACCACAAACGAAGTGCTGAATCAGGAGTCGAGCTTGGAGACACATTTCTCTGAACCATCCGTGATTTTTGTTGATCAGCTGAATAAAAAACATTTCCCATAATTTCCTGCAGAAGCAACTCAGTTTTTCTGTTAGTGAGCATTTACATATAATATCTGGTCCTTATCATTACAAGAGCGTCGGTTAGATAGAAGTTTCGATCGGGTGGTTCAGTGTCTGGGAGTCGAGCTCTCAGTTGTCACTTTGGAAGGTATCAGTACTTTCTTATGGTGTCAAATTAAGCAAAACAAATATGGCCACGCCAGCCATCCGATTAAGTGTTATTACTAAGGTTCGCAAGTGACGCTTTATATCATGTGCATCAACACCACAAGAGCGTATGTTCGTACTGGAGATGGTTCAGTGTGTGGTGATGTGGATGAACTTTAGACCAGGGACAGCTACGTAGACGTGGAGGGAGGGAGCCGGCCAGTAGTGAGACGGTCGAGGCGATTAGTGGATGTGTGATGGAAGTTAACGTTTACAAAATGCTCCCAAATTAAAACACCCAGTTGTCAAGGATTATAAAATACAGACGCCATCATGTGTGTTGGTGTTGAAAAATATAAGGTATGTCGCTGTGTATATTTCCCTTACAACTTATTTCTCTCTCCAATCTACGTCAATTCGATAGCCCATTAATTGTATACAAATGTTGATGACTGGGACTTAATTATACTGAATGATCTTGACAGCTTCACTGGGGTAGAAATCCATTTCAACGTGATTTGGTTGTAGGAGTTCAAGGTTAGGTACCAGAACAAGGCGACCACCCACGCTGATTAACCCGACCTTCTCCCCTAGACCATTATCCGGTTTAGCATTTATACGGAGTCCTTTAACACGGCTTTACAGGATTATGAACATTAGATTAACACCTAATCGTGTCCATGATCAAACCTTATAAGTGGTTGTTACCAGTCGGCGTAATAGGGATGTCTCAACTGCGTACATAATGCCTTCAGTCTTCATTAGTGTATTCATAAGTGTTCTAAGTGGTCTATGATTGTCGGGAACAAAATATAAACAGCACTTTTAGGCTAAAACGTATGTAACAATATAAGCAACTAACCACTCAGCGCAGCCAAACTCAGCTCCACATTAGCCGTCATGTGAAGATTAGGCACCCAATCGAATTTTACTTGTTATACACAGAAGTGCCAGTTTTGGTGGTGGTGGGGGGAGCGGGTGTTAGGGTAGTTAATCTTCAGGTGATATAAGATGGGCTGCTGCCATATCTTCGTGATTTCATAATTTTATCTTGTTTAAACCAAACACGATTTCTATGAGCGTTTTAAATCCCAGTGTAAGAGGCGGTGTTACCTTGTTCACCTGACAGTCAAATATTGTAGCCAGGAACAATCAGATCCATCTTGAGTACATCAGTTGGTCACTGTGGAGGAATGGTGGTGGTGGGGAAGTGTCTGTGGTGGTGGCGATGGGGAAGTGTTTATAGAGGTGGTGGTGGGGAAGTGTTTATAGTGGTGGGGAAGTGTGTGTTGGTTGCTGAGGGGAACTGTCTGTGGTGGTGGTAGGTAACTCACTTGCCAACCTCCAATCACCAATGTAAAGGTGATATTTTCGACATGTAGAATAATATACTTTTGTGCTATAAATTATTACATAGTCAAGTGAAGTATAATGGTCAAATAAGTAGTTTACTTTCCATTATCACCGTATTTACTGTGTTGGAAAAAAATATTTGTGACCTTCGCAAGATATTCACTGATATTTAGGGAAATGAAGAAGAGAAATTAAAGAATATCACTATCAGAAAAGAGGATGTTCTTAAGAAGATAAATAAATAAAAGACAAAATCCCCAGGGCCGGATGAAATTTTCCCTCGAGTTTTGAAAGAGTGTAAGGAACAGATTAGCGGACCCCTCGTAAGTTTATTTACAAAATCATTAGACACGGGAGTTGTGCCAGACTTGTGGAAACAGGCAAATGTAGTACCCATATTCAAAAAGTGTGACAGAACATCAGCGTCAAATTACCGGCCGATTAGTTTGACGTCAGTAGTGGGGAAATTTCTTGAATCCATTATAGCAAATAACATCCGATCGCATTTAGAGAAAACAAATTAATCTACGATTCTCAACAAGGGTTTACAAAAGGAAAATCTTGTCTAAAAATCAGCTGACGTTTTTTTTGGGAAAGTCTTCGAGGTAGTAGATTATGACGAAAATCACGATGTTATTTACTTAAACTTTAGCAAAGCGTTTGACAGAGTACCGCATCAGAGGCTTCTGAGAAAAGTTAAGGCTCATGGTATCGAGGGGAAAGTTTTAAATTGGATAAAATCATGGCTTACCGATAGAACACAGAGGGTCAGCGTAGATGGTGTTAAATCTGAGTGGGGCTGTGTAACCAGTGGGGTTCCCCAGGGGTCAGTACTGGGCCCACTCTTGTTCATAATCTACATAAACGATCTAGATACTGGGATCAGCAGTGACATAAGTAAGTTTGCGGATGACACCAAAATAGGGCGGCAGATTAATTCAGGGAAGGATGCAAATGCCA